TCGCGCCAAAGATAAGACGGGCGAAACCGCCCGGTCGCGATCGCCAGTAGGAGGCCGTGATGATGCACTAGTTGCGGAAGAGATTGACCAAGTAGAGATCATGGCAAAAGGCCTGATAGATACTCAGGGTTTTTCCCCGGATGAGTGTCTGGCCCTCCTTCGTGCCTATGACCGCGACCGACGCGAGGCTTACACGCGTCCGCTCCTAGATGATGGAGATCCCGGATGCATAGCCCTCGCGGTGGGAGTATATCGGCACGGTGGTCTTGTTGGAGTTTCTGGACCAACGCGCGAGAGACCGTCGTTTGCCATGTACCTCAACCACTACATCTTGCATCACAGCATGCAAGCCGGTCATCACCTCCCACAGTGGAGTAGCGTTCAGCTTACCAACAGAGGCGCAGAGGCCCATAGAGACCTAGCGAACACTCCTGGCTCGCATAACTACACTATAGGTGTGGGCGAGTATCGTGGAGGCGGTCTATGGGTGGAAGAAGCCACGGGTACAACCCCCGTGCGTGTTCAAAACACGACAATGTATGGCACCGTCCACGATACTAAGAACAAGGTTCTTAAGTTTCGCCCGAAGGACGTGCACATGGTCGCACCGTATGTAGGAGAACGATACAGTCTCTCCGCATACACGGTGAGTGATCTCGGCAAGTTGTCTAAAGATGACATACAGCTTTTGTCGGACTTAGGCTATCCCATATATAGGGATGCGCCCAACACCTTTGGCAGGAAAGGCGATGGGATATACACCATGGGTCACTCTGATCTTCCCATCGAGACGTTCCTAGAACGCATCCATGAGTACGGGATTAAGGAAATCATAGATTGCAGGAGCCATCCGTACAGCGTTCGGCATCCACAATACAATTGTGATGAGCTTTCCGCCACATGCTTTGCAAAAGGAGTTGTGTACAGTCACGCCCCCGAGTTAGGCAACAGGAATCGGGGCGGGATTGAAGCCAATCTGCAAACAGACCAAGGGCTCTGTACGATCGCTAGAATAATTAGCGAGGCCCACGATGACTTCCATCGAATACTTCTGTTGTGTTCGGAGGCCAGTTGGCGGCGATGCCATAGGCGAAATATCGCCCAGCACATATGGCTCGAGCATTCGAAACTTGCCGAGCACATACGTGCTAACGGACTGCCAGAAGCCCATCCGTGTCACTACTCCCTGAGGAAGACGACGGACTGGCAGCAGCATCGCACACAGCTGCGATTGGCACGACTGTGCCAGCAGCTGAGCCCTCGGATAGTCGAGCGGCGGAATCCAAGGCCTTTGCTCTCACCCCAGATGGGGAAGACGCCATCGGCTCTAATGTCGATGCTGGCTACATGGCCTCGCTCCTGGATTACCACAAAGCCCCTGTCGAAGTTCAGCTGGGGCTGGATGCTGCCATGAAAACTGAATGGCAGAAGTACACTGAATTCAACGCAGTGGTCCCTTGCACAGACAAGGAGTTCAAGGAGCTCACAAAGGCTGGCCACGTGTGTATCCCCACCAAATGGGTCCTCACCGATAAGAATGAACACCTAAAGGGGACGCCAGCATACACTCCCAAGTGGAAAGCACGCTTGGTCGCATGTGGAAACTTCGAGCATATCTCGAATGAGGAGGATATCAGGGCAGACAGCCCCACGGCTGAGCCGGAAGGCATAGCCCTTCTGTGTTCATGGGCGGTTTCATTGGCCCTGCGGCTCAAAGCAGCCGATATAACGAACGCATACTTCCAAGGGAAACCCCTTGAGCGCCTTCTCATTCTTCGGGTTCCTAAACACCCTAAGGGTGTACCCGATGCAGAGATTCAGCGAGCCGGGCATATGATTGCCCGAGTACCCGTGTATGGCACGACCGACGCGGGTCGGAACCTTTATCTCCGCATAAAGGAGAGTGCCCGCGAATTTGGCTTAAATGCCTCGCAAATTCTGTCAGCCCTGTACTATATTACAGGAGAAGGTGGTCGTTTGTGTGCTTGCTTGTGCACCCACGTGGATGATTTCCTGTGGGCTGCTACCGCCGAAGGCGAGCCGGCTATCCAGAATCTGCTGGATAAGTTTAAGATCGGTCGCATAGAGACTGAGAAGTTCCGTTTCTGCGGACGCGAGTATGTGCAAAGCGCCGATGGGACCATCAGTATAAACTGTAGGGACAACACGCGTGCAATTCGCCCGATCGATATTCATAAGTCTGAAAAGGGCACGACTCCAGTCTCGAATGGCCAGCGCACAGCGTTGAGATCCGTCATAGGATCGCTGGCTTGGGTGGCTCGCGCCACGAGACCTGATCTTGCCTATAGGGTGAATGCCCTGCAGCAGCGTGTTACGACAGCCACGGTGGATACACTCCGTGAAGCAAACCGCGTAGTAGCACTGGCGTTAGGAGATGCGGATAGGCCGATCACGTACAGCGCTAAGTTACCCTGGAATACAGGGGAGCTGGCGATTGTCACGTTTTGCGACGCCTCCTTTGCAGGAGAGGCAAACCATAAGTCGCAGAGAGGTCGTTTCCACTACCTCACTTCCGCACAGTCGGCGGTGGACAAGAACGCGTCAACGCATGAGATGCACCTCATTTCGTTTTCCTCGTCCACCATGAAACGGGTTTGTCGCGCCACACTCCAGTGTGAGGCTTACTCGTTGCAACATGCGATAGAGCATGGAGACCGCATTCGAGCAGCGGTGCTCGAACTGCTCGGCAAACTGCCCCGGTCACAGAACTGGGAAGAAGTCGCCAAGAGATCGATGTTCCACCTGCAGTATACGGACTGCAGGTCCCTTTCGGATCACTTGACTGCGTCGATTCCAAAATCATGCGAGGATAAACGCCTTGCCATAGAGATGTCTGGACTCCGCCAAGGACTTTGGGAAGAGGACGAGCTAACGCACGCCTTGTACCATCCTTACGGCGACGAGTTGAGATGGATACCGACGCATTTACAACTTGCGGATTGTTTGACCAAGAGTATGAAACCGCTTTTGATCAATCACAGCATTGATCGCAATCTCGTTCAGGTGCTCGATGTGCCCGCGCAAGCCGCACAGAATGTCGAGAGTACCTAAAGCACTCCGCTTTACGATCGAAGAACTCAGCCTGGAGCCTTGAGTCGCCGCACTCGGCTCGGTTGACTGCGCAAGCTCCCGGTATAATCCGGTGGAGTAGGCTTGGCCCAAAGTGGTCATAATTCGAGCATGATTCGGACGTCACACTACAGATAAGACGGGTGTGAAATTTCCCTGTCTTGAAGCGCCGTGTTGACATGTCCTCATGCGTGAATAGTTTTTGAGACAGTTCTGAACGCACCCTGTACGACAGACGTCTTGGGCTCAGACCAAAAAGTGCGCTCGTTGTGTGGTTGGACACTCACTAATCCAGTTCCTGCTTCAAAGCTAGCAAGGTGCCGGGCACGGTCTGTGCCGTCACCCTCACGCGCTGCCGCCATCTCTGCTTTCACTCCTCTCCTTTGCAGCTGCGCGCTGTTTTGCAGCCAGCCTGTTGTTTTTGCCCTTCACTGGCACGGCCAATGTTGACAGGGAGCTACCACCTCTGAGCGACATCCTCGCCGACTCGCCTTCCCAGCCCCCGCTCGCCAGCCGTGTGGCGTGAATGCACCCCGCGTGCGCCGCTTTTGCCGCTCTTTGCCGTAGTCTGTTGCCTTGCCTTTGGGCTTTTGCACAGGGACCGAGCTGCTTTGGACGTCGGTAAAAAGGTCCCTGGTGAAAAATACACTCGCTGGTTCGCCTCACCGCGTTGCGCAAGCGAGACGGGGGCTTGCATGAAATCGCCTCGCTTGCCCGAGGACAGAGCGATTCGCGTTATCTCGCATTTTACGGTGTTGTCCGTGAGCACAGGTTGCGAGATCCGTTCGCATCCTGGCAGCCTCGTCCGCATGTTGCCCGCCGCCGCCTCCGATTGCCCTACGTTGCGGGGCGACAGTTGTGTGTGAGGCATATGGCCGCGAAGGCTATTGCTGTGCGGCACTGTGGGCTTCAGCCGCAAAAACCTCACACAGCTGTTGCAAAAAGGTGCGAGAAAAAAACCGATGTTGCAGAGATCTTGAACCAAAGCGGGAATGGGGCATATTGGCACGTTCAAGGTCGCCATGGTCACCGTGTCCCGGTGTCTTCATGCCGAGGCATTCAGTGCGTGTTGTATTGCATGGCACATGTGGCACGTGAGACATGTGTGGGGCAAGGCGGAAACATTCGTCGGATGGTTGCCCATCCGCGTTTCTGCTGGTGGTGATCTTAGATGAATGCCGTGAAACACTCTCTTGAGTGATTGCGTGCGATCGGACAGCTGAGCCGTAAGGTTTCGCGATGCCGGCATCGAAGACAAACGGCATTGAAGGGGGCAGGCGGGAATTGTCGGAAATGTGCCATCGTAATCAGTACTCTCGAATGAGAACGTGTCTTGCAGAGATTGGCTGACCGACAGACGTGGACGGACGAGACGACTGCAATGGTCACGTGGGTCGCAAGATCCCCAGGCTGGGCGGTTTGGGGCCTGGGACCATATGCCTTCGTGGTCGTGGCTCGGTCGTAGTGCTAGTCGTAGTGGTAGCAGCAGGCAGCAAGTAGATGTAGCAAGAAGTTTGATTTGACACCACGCAAAAAGAGTTCCAGAACAGTCTTAGAACTGCAGGGGTGCAGCAATTGGTGGCATTTTTGCCGAGTGTGCGTGCAGCATTGTGCCACCGCAGGCCCGCAACAAAGCAAGCCTGGAGCACAGCGTGGTGAAATTTTCGTGAGGTTTGTAGAGCTGTCGCACCATCTACGGCTTGAGCGGTGTACTAGTTCGTTTACACAGAGATGCGAAGGTTGATGTGCATGTGTACGTCCCACCCGCAGCCATCAAAAGTTTCTGTCCGTGTGCTGCTGCAGTCGCTGAGGCAGCCTTCTGGACAGCATGTTGAGACCTTCAGCATTGACAGTTGACAGCCGCGAATGCTGCAGGCGCAGTGCGCGGCAAACCATTATATCGAGGTGAGATGTTCCAATGCCGCATGTCGGGGGCTTGGGTGCAAAGCATTGATAAGCGTTGTAAGTGACAATGTTATGTTGACATGTGAGGTGTTCGGAGAATCCCTTCAACGCCATGTTCGCGGGCAACGCCAAGCCTGACAAGGACATCTGATTTGAGGGTTTTGTCCGGTGCTAAGGCAATAAAATATGTAGGACACATGTTGTCACCATTTGGGAAGACGCCTGTGCAGTTTTTCAGCATTTACCTTTCGAGTTAAGTTCAGGTCCCACTGTAGGACGGATTCCTTAGAGTCAACACTGTTTTGAAGGAGGTTCAGCGTTCGCGCTATGATTCCTGATAGTCTGGCCTGCTATTTCGTGCCCTTGCATTACGAGACACTTGATGATGGCACGGCAGAGAGAGAGAGAGAGAGAGGGAGAACACTGAAGGTGAAAGAAAGAAAGAGAGAACACTGAAAACATTTGCCATTCTGGTTGGTGGAAAGCACTCAACATGAAGATGATTGAAGAGGTAGAGCTGTTAGCAAGATGGTTAATCATACTCGAAATGAAGATGCAGCAGCAGTATTTGGGGGAACCAAAAGTCGTTATCGAACTGTGTGTAGTCGGGGCTTGCTAGCATCGCGACCAGCCACATGCCGTACACGAGTTTTTACAGCATGAGCGTGCTTGCACCATACCGTCCGCTTCGTTGTGTTTTGCTTGGTGTCTACTTGGCGTATCTTGGAATATTAGATGTTACCGTGGAAAAGTGGATGATAGACTATGGGGATTATCATTCTCATAAGACGCCATGCACAACAGTGGATGGAAAAAGGTGTGAAGCAAAAACACCGTAGAGAGCGACCGTTATCGTCCCGGACCCGGGACAAATGCGGCTTTGGGCTTGGAGTGGCTGTGGGCACTGTGATCTTAGAGCATCTGCAGAGCCCATTGGCATTCTGTTCTGCGAAGCAAACATACTCCGATCTTGTCATCATGGCTTTGAATACTAGATGTGCTCGCATGCAGAATCAGCGGCGACGGTCGCTTCGAGGCTTTTGGCAAGGTACCCCGTTGATGTGTGGAATATTCACGGCATGTTGAAAGAAGAATTTACAATAATCCCTATCCTCTGAAACGTAGCTGATTTTGGCCATGTCCTGGACACGTGTGTGTGTGTGAGGATGCTACGGAACAGACAATGTTGTTCAACTTTTGACACGAATGAAAGCGGTAGCCGGTGTTAAGCTGGCCAGCCATGCACGGTCGGGCTGACAGGGCCGGGGCCTCCGCCGCGGCCCCCGCCGCGGCCCCCGCCGCGGCCCCCGCCCTCGCCGACCAGGTCTTCACCGCAGTTCGCCGTGCCGGTGGTGAGGAGGCCGAGCTGCATCCTTTGCGGGACATCACCAACAAAGAAATCGAGGAGGTCAAACAGCTGAAACATCCACCTCGTGAGGTGGTGAGGGTCATGGAGGTCGTCCACTTGCTGCTGTCTTCGATGCTTCCATCCGTTATTGACTGGGGCGATGTTCTTCGCACCGTCGTGCGTGTGGACTTCCTGAAGCGCGCCCGCAACATTGACATGGAGGCCATCTTGGAGCAGCCTCGCCTGATTGACTACATCTGCCGAAGATACTTCGCGGGCAGCGAGCCTTTGACGCCTGATCGAGTCCGGTGGGCAAGCAAGGCTGTCGTGGCTTTCTTTGGGTGGACCGTTGCCATCATTGCCGGCTGTCTGCCAGCTTTCCCGACGAAGGTCGGTGGCGAGGAGTCGAGGCGGCGGATCATCTTGCTTGACCAGGAACTCCGTGAACAGCGGCGTCAGAAGCGAGACGCAGAGGAAGACCGGGAACGCGAGGAACAACAGCAACGAGAGGAGAAGCAGCGCAGGGAGATCGAAAGGCGACGCGAAAAGCAACAGGAGGAGGAAGCACGACAGAAGCTAGCAATCGAAGCTGCAGCCGACAAGAGGGCAGAGGCAGAAGAGTTCAAACAGCAGCAAACGCTGCAACAAACGCAGCGAATGCTAGAGCAGCAGGAGCAGGAGCAGGAGCAGCGCCACCAGCAAGAGGTCTTTAAGCAGCGTCGAGCAGCTGCAAAGCAGAGGAAGCTGGAAGCAAAGATCAGGCACAAGAAAAGAGTTGCGCTTGGCTTAGACAGCGACGAATCCGGCTCAGAAGTGGAGCGGTGTCGTGGAATTTGGAACAGCAACAATCCAGACATCAGGTTCTTGCGCGTGGCAGGTGCTGAAATCACATTCCTTTCCGACGAGTTCGCCGACCACTGTACAGCGGTGTCTTGTCAGCCCATGCACTATGGCCAGCACTTCTACGAGTTTATCGTGCACCACTTCAGCGATCAGCTACGATGTGGTGTCACTGCGGATGCGGTGCAGGCGGGCGCACTCGTTGCCGGACACAACTTGCGCGGATGGTGCTACAACACCGGACGGAGAAGTCTAAAGGCAAAGACAATGCCTGCGGGGCTACAAGTCAATGGCAAGGTTGTGCAAGAGTTCAGCAGTGTTGACGATGGTGACATTATCGGCGTGCTCGTGGATGCGGACAGATGGTCGATTGCATTCTTGAAGAACAGGGTGCTGGAGGGAAGTTGTGCGATGAGTTCCCATGCACGGGAGCCGCTGTATTTGCTCCTGCATATGGATGCAGCAGGTGACCACGTGGAATTGCGCCACGTGCCCCTGCATGAAGCTCCAGCAGACGCTATTGCAGAGCTGGAGTCCTTCTCCCCTCCCTCGTGGCAAACCTTGGTTAGCGACTGCTCCGATTGCTCCAGTCTGAGCGAGGGTGAGGGGATGCCAGGGTCTGCACAAAACCGGCCCCGCTCTGCTGGTGCCGACTTCAGTGAGCCATTGAGCGGTCCAAGAGCAGAGCAGCTCACGCCGGGCCAACAGCCGGGCCGCGCGACGGCGCGGTTTAAACCGCTGGTCTCCTCTACCGGCGACCTTCGTGTTGCCTCCAAAAAGCTCCTTGGGGCAGCTGAGGCGATTCTCGGCCAGAGGCCACCGGTCACCAGCAACCCTCCAGGACCTGCAGAGGCCTTCCTTCCGGCGGCAGCGCAGGTGCCAGAAGATGGCAATGAGCAACGTTTTGCCGTCGAGCTCAAAGCTCGCCTGAGAGCGCTGAAAGACTGCTTGGACGAAGGCCTCCTAACCATGGACGAGTTCCAAGAGGAGAAGGGCATCGTTTTGCGGGCGATGCGGCCTGCATTGAATGCCTCCAGCACGGGGTCCCCGCGATGTGAAGAGCAAAAACCGTCGTCCAGCCACATGGAGCCCAACAGAGTCGCCAGTGTGTCTGTTCGACCGGCGAGCCAGGCACGCAATCGGAGCGATGAAGCGTGTCAAAGAGAGAACAGGCAAAGCTCTCCACACAATCTCCGGGCATGGGGCCCGCGCGTTCCAGAAAGGGGTCCCTCAGGGCCAGGATTCGCAGCTCTGCTTGACTACTGTGCAGCCAGCTTTGATGAGCAAAAAAAACATGCATCCGCAAACCCCTGCCATTGTTGACGCCCTTTTTACCCACCATCGCCCAACTTGCATGATGGACGGCAATGCTTTTCGCTTGTGGCTCACTGTTTTGGCTTGGCAGGAGAAGGAAAAGAAAAAGAAGGCCGAGCCCTTTTCACCTGCAGTGGCGAGAGAAAGAGTTTTAGTGTGCATTCGCGAAGGAGAAGCGGAAGTCTACATCAAGGCGAGATGCTGCCGCTTTCCAAGCACGCAACGAGGAAGAGGCAACTGATTCATCCATGATCAGTTTGCTGCTGCCGGAGGGCGTGGATTTGTTGACGGTCACGTGGCAAATTGTGGCCAGGTGACCGCTGCCATAAAAACTTGGAGTGAGCAGCCTGGCGGCGTGCTGCCACGGAGTCTTTCGATATCGACATCTGGATGATTCTGCATGCAGGTATGCCCATCCGCGGGCCAACGATTTCTTTTCTAGCCCGGAGCAGCTCGAAGATGTGCTGCGGCAGCTGGCGAAGGCACGACGCGGGGTCGTACTGTAAGAGTTTCAAGTTTTCCGGATTTCCACTAGGAAAGCTTTTTCCTTATCCAAATCCAGAGTTTTGGTTCTGCGATCTGGGCTCAGAGTCAGAGTACTGTACCTTCCATGGCACATATTGGAGCCTGCTCCGGAGCTTCAGGCCTAGGAACCGACCCATCGGATCTGCTTTCGCCTTTGGAGGGTTCCATCTCTGCTCGTTCCAGGGCATCGACAAGAATGATGACCCGATTTTGGGCTCCGAAGAGAGGCCGGAAAGCCGTTAACAGCAAGTGCAGTAGCAATCGTCGTCTCCATCGGGTATGAGCAGAAGACTTATATACCATGAACTTCACCGTCGATAGTGTTGCCAGTCGTTGGCGAAGCCGGGGCTGGTGTCATAGCCTTTTTGAAGAAGCTGAGGTGTGTTTATTGGTACGGAGACGTCACAAAGGAAGACCTCCAAGCCGCCATTCGCATGGTCTCCTGCTTTCTGATGCTCCGTGCGTGTTCTTGCGGCATGCAAGCAAGGATGAACAAGGCCAGTAGCTTCAAGCAGGCCTAACTTGATGACACTTAACCACTGGAACGCTTGCAAAGGTTAAGCCAGGCGAGTCCGCCGAGTCCGTGACGTATGTGATGCTTGCTTGAAACACTATTGGGTGTTGGGGGATGGCGATTTGTTTGAGACTGGCCGAATCACAATGCTGGCAGGCGTCGATTGTTTCATAGTCACGAGTGTGTGCGGCAGGCTTCTTGGGGAATCTGTCAGCACATTCCGAGGTTCAATAGTGAGTTCAGACGGCCCAGGAATTAGCACCCGCATATTCAGTCTTGCTGAGGGAGAGTGGTCCTTCGGGGGGACTGGGGCTCAAGAGCTTGCTTGGTAGAGGAACCGTCGACTCGTCGACATTTTTTTCAAGTTCTTTCTGTGACCCAAGTGTGAGGAACCGAGTGCTTGCCTTCATTTTCGCCACGGACGAATCTTTCGACAAGCGGCCGGGTCCGCACTTGGCTTTCCAGTTTCTAAGGAGGCTTTTAAAGTTTGTGCCATGGGTCTGCATCAATGCCAGCGGACAGAATCCCAGCTTAGGTTGATGAAGCTGCCCAAGGCAGGGACCTTCTTGGCCATATATATATATATATATATATGTATATTTATATTTACATTTATATATGTTCGTGGAAGCTGTGCTTTTGTAGTCTGTGCGATCTTGAGATCCGGCATCCCAGAACTGCTCCCAACTGAGGTTCATGAGCGGGTTCATTGGAATGCGCGGCATCATTATTAATCTTGTACACACTCTTGCTTGCAATTCGATAAGTTCGATCTCGTCGTGTCCGTCCGCTTGCCCAGTAACATGTGCGCCATCTCGGCACAGGAACCATTCAAGATGAGCTGTGGAGATCAGCCGCTTGGCCGTTTTGGACTCATGCGGCTGGTTCACCGCTTGCACAGAGGCGGATTCCGTCGAGTCAAGACTGACGGACAGGGTTGAGGGTCTGACAGCCAAAAGGCGTGGAAGAAAGCTGCGTTGGAGCTCGTGCAATGTCTTGCTTGCTTGGCCAATTCGGATGGGGCTCATCTACGATTTGAGTGCCTCCCAGGTCGTCAACAGTGCTAGCTTTCGTCCGCCACGCCTAATGTTGACTTCCTATGAACCCCCCCCCCCCCCGTGATTGTTTGCTGGCCCCGGGTGGAGGGGATTGACTATTGACGGGGGTCCGTCGGCGCTTGGTTTCTAAAGCTTGCGGGGGTTTCGTAATTGAGGGGGTTTATAATTGAGTTCCGGGGGTTGGGTTTTGTAATTGAGGGGGGGATTATACAAATGAGGTCAACGTTAGTCTCTTTCGTTGCAGAAGCTGAAGAGGTGCACTCCAAATTCGCGGATTCATGCGGGGGCATTGTTGAGATGTTTTAAACAGAGCTTTAATGCCGTTTGAGACAATCTCAGCGGTCGAAGACCACTCCTCTTCGAAACCCGAGGCTATGCGTACATTTGGCGCATATCTCCCTGGCCACGTCCAGCTGAGTGCCACGCCAAGATGCTTGGGAAACTTTGCAGGGTGTGGGGTCCTGATGCTTCAAGACTGTCGGTGTATGCGGAGACGAGGCACTTGACAAATCCGCTTGACTGCAGTGGAGAGTAGCAACGAGCTCCAAGTTCAAAGGGTGTTGGGGAGTTTGTTTGGAACTAGGTCGACAGCGTTCTCCTAGCATGACTGGTTGGGCCGCTCCCCGGACGCCTTTCGCCTCTGGATAAGCAGAGCACGACGGGACCCTCACCCATTGTCTCCAAGCGAGGTCTACAGCTCTCGCGCTGTGGCAGCCGCATGGGGTCTTTGTGAGGGGTTGTGATCTGCTGGTGCGAGGGAACTGCCTAGCTCGGGCTGCGGGAGCTGGTGGTGAATCATTGTTGGGCCGTCATTGTTGGGAGGTTTGGTTAATTGTGCAGGACTCCAAACTCCGTCCAGTCCGCAACACTCTGCACGAGTTCTTGCAGGATTACGGTTTTGACCTTGGTTAAGGCCCATGAATCGATGCACGGTTTAACGCATATAGAAAATCCAGTGCTCCGTGGCCAGCGACGCAGCTTCAGCAGGATTGCCTGACGGATGTGAGCTTCTAGGTTCTCAACGGGTCCCAATTCCCCGTAAGTCTGCGATGCCCTGAAGACTGCTGCAGGCTTGCATCCCGACGTAGGTTCCCACAAATAGTGCGTCACACCCGGAAAGCTAGATCATTGAATCGGTGTACGTTGCTGGAGAGTCTGGCGCAATGCCGAAGGAGAAAGGCCCAAGGCCGCTGGTCTCTGTCGCCCTTAATTCACTGTTTGAGATGCCGCTTTCTTTGCTAGCGAGTTCTGCCTGCACACCTGATGACAGCATTTGCCGTGCCACCGGTCCCACCCGACTTAAGCCCTGCTTGTCACTGCATGGCAAAGACCTGATGAACTTTAGCCAGCAGCAATGGGGGTTAGTGCCGTTGAGAGCCCTGCCCTAACCCACAACCTCGCCTGAACAACTTTTCCGACTAATGGTTGCCAGGCTGACGGCAAACAGGGGTCAACAAAAACGAGCAGTGGTCAGGCTGCCTTTGGTACACCAAGCAGCAAGACATAGGTGTCGCCAACCCACTGAGCCTATGCATATAGATGGCAGGCCCTGAACCCCGGTATGCATCTTCAGACTTCATAGACTGTTTCATGGCCGGCGACTGCATGTCCCAGTCGGGTCGTGACGCCTTGGGTAGCAATGTGGAGTCTCCAACTGGCCCCCGAACTCTGAAGAACACTTCTGCCATACTCAAGTAACTGTCTTGCTTGATATTATGGGCAGCCAGAACGAAAGCTCGGGGCGGCAGTTCGTGACCGGCAGCAACAACCCGTCGTCACTGGAATCCAGCATTCGTGGAAAAGGCTCCCAGCCAGCTACTTGTACTGTTGACAACGTCGTCAAATCCATGTCGTTGGTCTGCATGCAAACAAGATCGTGGCCACCTCCACAGCTGGAAGCCTGTTCCAGGTCCTTGTGCTCAGGTTCCGTTTGCCCTTTTGGGCCTTCCTGCAACGGTGTGGACCCTCCCAAGAGCTTTCCAATGTTCACATTCCGGGTCTGGGATACTTGTGGAGATGGTTAATGTTCAGCCCGGAACCATCCAGACAGAAAGCCAAAGGCCATGATCACTCTTGCCAAGTACGAACTAAAGCCGGGAAGCATAAAGGCGTAGTTTCGGGAGAGGCCTGGCAGGGCAGCGATCGAAAACGCTTATGCAGTCGTTCTCAGTTGATGTGAGATACGACTGCGACGACGATTGCGGGCAGCTGCTGTGGAGTGTCCACTTCGCGATTGGGACTCGCCAAAAGCCATAGTTGCATCAGGATGAGGCTGTAGGATGCCTTTGGTTGGAATTTCTTGGTATCTGCCCTGAGAACTAACCACAACTAACGCCATTCGCAAGCGGGCACTGAGGGCGCGAAGTGGCGACTCTAGGCGGCAAGGCCCGTTGCTCAGAAATACGGTCTCACGGGGTTGTGACGGAGTGAAGGGTTGTCATCGTCGGCAGCTGTGGTTCCTAGGCATCCCCCGCACGCGCGGCATCATCCGCTGGTTCAGGTGCAGGTGAGGGGGATACTCGTCCGAATCCACAGCATGGAGTTTTGCAAGCGAGGCCGATGCATGCATGACTGGCACGCATGGATGGCTGTCCGGATGGATGAATGCAGGGATGGATGGATGTATGTCTGTATGTAATCAGGTGTGTAGATAGACGTCTCTGTGTGTGTGTGTGTGCATTTGTGTTCGTATGCATGTATTCACCTACGTATGCATGCATACATTGATGAACGAATGTATGCATGCACGCACGCATGTTTTGATGAATGCATGCATGCATAGATGCATGTATGTAGGCATGTTTGCATGCGTGTATGTATGAATTCACGCACGTATGATTATGCATGCGGGTCCGTACGTATGCCGAGTGCCAGGCCAACACGAGGTATGTAGGTACCATGTGGACGATGTAGGTGCTCAGGACTGATGCCTATGTCTGTCGAATCAGTCGTTGTTGTGTGGAGGGTTAGAGTTTATTGGCTGGACCAGCGAGATTGTCGTCACAAGCATCTCCGACATGATGTCCCGATGGTGCACATGATGTGCAGCCAGCGGTCAGTGTTGTCAGCACCACATGGGCACAAGGGCACAGACATGGGAATGGACATCGCAACTTCGATGACCGATGAACCTGGTCGATCGAGTGGATGGCTGTAGCCTCGCTCGTTCAGATCGGACCAACATTTCTTGATCCTGTAATCCCGGTTTTCAACCGGACAGTGGGCGCCTTCAGAGCCAGTCCGGAATAACTTCAACACTTCGGGTGGGGTGGAGCGGCATAGCGGTGTGGAATCTTGCCGAGGGTAGTCTGAGTGGGAATGTCAAGTCCAGCCCACATGAGAACACATGCGGCCATGCGCACCAATATCTACCAGTCTCCTAGTCCCCAAACTCCAAGCCTCAAGCCTTTGCTCGTAGGACTTTTCGACTACGACGAGGAACTTCGAGCAGCAGGCATGGAACAGGCAAGAGACCTTGTGCACTGCCGGCAAGCACGATGTCCAAGGGTGCTGTGGACCTGTTCTTTGGCGCAAGGCTCCCAGTCAGCGCTCGGGGTCTGGATCCCAGAGGGAAAGCTGATGCTGGCACTGTAGCATTCAATTGCTGAAACATTCAGACGCCCGATGAACTGTTTCAGGTTTTGTGGGCACTTTGGCTGGTCCTGGTGAAAGTGACACGAGAGTTTCCACGATGATGATTGTTAATATCAAATCTGATTATGTTTACAGCTTTATCTTACGGCACCGGGCAGCATGACACAGGCCAGCGAGGATCCGGTTGCTGGAGCGTTTGGCCGTGCAAGTAATTTGCCTCAGTTCGCAACGCTGGAAAACGATTAGTGAGGTCAACAAGGGCAGTTGAGGTGAGAGCCATGGGGCAGCGCTGCCATGGCGCGGTTACCGTTGCTCTCTGCCTAGTTTGCTTGAGGGAGGTCACCAGATGTTTCCTGACTTCGTCGCCGTCCCCGGGGCTCCGACGACGTGACCACGCGTTGCACTGGCTGGTCGCGACTGGGTTCGCGCCAGCAGCTGAAGCTTTCGAAGGTGATGCAGCCTGCATTCGGGAGGCTGCCAGGATGCAAACGCTCCAAGATCCAGTCCTTGCCCCAAGCTTGTTGCGGCTGGCCTTCCATGACGCAGCCACCCGTCGACAGGGGGACAGCCGCCGCCAGGGCCCCAATGGATCGATCCGCTTTGAATTGATGCGGGATGAAAACTACGGCCCGTCCATGGCTGCTGCGCTGGCAGCCGTGGAGAATATCGTGCAACGGTGCAGGGTGAGCTGGGCGGATGCCATTGCTGTTAGTGGTGCTGCCGTTGTTGAGGCCATGGGAGGGCCTGTGATATCCGTGGAAACCGGGAGGTCGGATGCTACGGAACCTGATGCTGACAAACGCTTGCCTGACGGCACTCTGACTTCCGGGGCGATCCGGGACTACTTCCGTCAGCTTGGGATGTCCGACGCCGAGCTGGTCGCACTTCTTGGGGCTCACACTGTGCCCCGGCAGAAACCACGAATGGAGTTGCATGCGGGTTCAGGGCTCGTCCCCTGAGATGATTCTAGCTCGCTACTTATTACTTGATGTTTCTCTTAGCCGCCGGAGACAACAGGCTCCGAAAGTGTGAGCCAGAGCAAGCAGACACGCCCCGCCTTGCTTACATCCATCACGCGTTTTTGTCCTCGGTGTTGCCACTTTGATGACCGGTGGTAGGTTGCATCGTATTGGATGCGGTTTCAGGATTTGCCATATCCGCCCGATTCTGTCCAGGTGAAGGCAGCTTCCACCCATCGCAGACTTCCGGTAGATGGCCTCTCGTAAACAGCGTTCGTGAACGCATGAAGTGCTTCAAGGAAGACCAACTGAGCCCCGAAGCAACATGCACCATCTGGCACAGCCCGGTGTTGCAGAGTTTGTGCATGAAGAGGTGCCGGTTTGAACCGAGGTGGGACGATGGACGTCCTTGTTGGATGTGCGTCCAGACTGCCTCGACAAGGAGTGCGGTCAACGATTGTCTTGGTTGCGGTCAACGAGCTGCAGATCACCCCACATCCAGAAGCCAGTTTCGTGGGGCTGTGTTCCTGCTTAGAACTACTTGACCATTGTGATCTGCAGTTTCCGCATAACGTCTTTATTTGCTCACCTGCGGCCCGACTGGGCCAACAGAGCTGTGAAAGCTGCTACTAGTAGACTTTAGGCGCAACTTAACCGCACAAGAGCACAAGCCAGCGTTATCAGATGTGGTCAAGACCGTATGTCGGCAGTACATGCAGTCCATGGAGCTTGGACGCTGACACCTTAATAAATTGGATGCAGGATACATTTGGAAATTTGTTGTGGGCAATGCACAGTTTACACTACTTTCGTGTGGTGTTCCGCAGCTGAGTCTGAGATGGCATGCAAAGAGTGTTAATGTCGCGATGCCGGGCGAGAAGCATTTGGGCTCTCTCTTCTTAAGAAGAGCGTTTTACTGAGTGGCGCGATTGTCTGGCTGAGTCTGGCCAACTTGGTTTTGTTCTACTGTGCAATAACCGCAGTTACCCGAACATACCCTGCAATGGGGGCGTCGTCCTTGCTAGGTAGGAGGGAAGATATCAACATCTGTAGCTTACTGGCAGGCGATAGTGTTACGTAGTGCCGTATTATCATATAGCTGATGATGATGGTTAATCCCGTTATTGTTGGTTTTCTTCCTGCTCTTCTCTTCTTGTTGCCGACATGAACCACTGTCACGGTTCTCATTGAATGATTGTGCGGTGGTGATCTGCAGCCTTCCGGGAACCCCCTGCGAGGAGGGCCGGGCCTTCTGGACCTGCTCCCGGGACACAAGGGTCTGCTGAGGGTTTTCAGTCTCCAGCAAGTCCGAATTTCTACAGGTTCCGGAGTCTCGTTGAGTTTGTGGTGCTGATTTTTCATGTTTTTCCTTCTAATTTTATTCTGGCGGGTCCGTTTCACCGCGCTGTGGAGTGTTTGCCGAGCTGTTTGTTCTTTGGCAGGAGCAGGGCCGGCGGCTTCCCTTTACAGAGAGCCCGGCAGCTTTCAACAACGAATACTTCCGGGAGGCACAGGAAACCGGGCCAGCAGACCTGCACTGGCCGTCTGTCTCTCGGGTGCCTGCTCTTCGTGCCTGCTGCCTGTGTCTGGGAGGTCCTCCTCTGGGAGCAGCGGCAGAAGATGCCGAAGCCCAAAACGCGCTACAAGGATGAGTTCTGGAAAGTGGATTGGGCCTCATGTGAGTCGGCAACGAGCAGAGATTGCTCTGAACTTTTTCGCCCTGCGTGCTTCTGACTTCGGCATGCCTTCTGCGGTTTCATTGTCCTGGGATTCGGCAACCCCTAACTCCAACATACCGCTTGACGCACTTGACCGCTTGAATTCTGCATAGCGCTATTCCATGTGTGTTCAACTGGTAGGGTCATCTTGCCCCAGTTGGACACGTGCATAGCGCTACGACTTCGGGAGGGGGGGGAGGTGTTGGGATGTTGTGCCACTTGCCTGGGCTTAGGGTTCACGCCATTCGGGTTGGGTTGGGTTTGGAAAGCGTCTAGGGATTTGAATTCATAGCGTTCAGAGGGTTCAGGGGTGCAGGTTTACGGTTTAGGGAGGGTCAGGGTTTGGGTTTCGCGGGCCGGCACCTCAGTCCGTGCTGAAAAGTGCGCGAGGCACCGGGAAAGGGAAGGTCACACCGAGGGGTGGCTTTAGCACAAGTGGCGCAAGTGGCTGAAGTGACTCTGGGGCAAGGGGTGCAAAACGGAAAGTTCAAGTGGTACAAGTGGATCGAGCGGGGTCAAAGCGTGGCGGCAGTATTTGGGAAGGTTCAAGTGGACCAGGTGGGCAAGCGGCGGAAAGAAGATGATGGTTCCCGAGTCCCGATTCCCGCTTTCTGTGCTGTTTGAGTGTCGAAGGTTTGGATGTTCGGGGCTTGATCTTATGTTGCAGGGAATGGCCTAGTTGCGTTGCTTTCGTCACGACAAGTTGGGACCCTGCCCAGACTGTAAAGGGAAGACAGCCAAGAGAACGGACCGTGGAAGGAGCGAGCAGAGAGCGAGAAGAGCTCGCCGTTGAATCTGCTCCCCTCGGACATCGGGATGCTTTTCGACCCCGGGCTCCACAGTCAGGCTGGGATGACTGTAGGCTCTGCGTCCGAAACTTGAAACCCACAGGCGCTTTTGCGTAATCAGCGGCCCAGGTGGAGAAGTTCGCAGCAGACGAAGCCGCGTTTTTTGCTGCATTCGCCAGTGCTTATCGGAAGCTGGTAAACTAATGCCTGTCCCTTCCGAAGCTTCGCTCACAAGTCTGCGAGGCCGTGTAGGAAATCGTAGCAAAGGCCAGTCGAGGACTCTACGATTCGCTGCCGAAAAGGTGCTTGTATGGCAAGATATGGCAAGCTTGTGGTCCTTGACCCTGGCCACCTTTGGAAGAGACCCTGCCTGCCTACCTCTGCTGAAAGAAGCCACCAGCCCTGTTCTGACTCAGGTTCACCATGCGTGACCGACATCGTCAGGCGGGGCTTGGCGGCGCAGTAGCAGGTACGATTTTTGCACACTCTAGTTCCGAGCCCCGTCGGCCGAAGACGAAGCCTCTAGCTCAGCGTCAAGGCCCCCGCCTCCAGCCTGAACGTCCCCCTCGGTTCTGCTTTCCGCCGGTACGTCCCTGAGACTCCGCTGCTACCAGGCGTAGAGTTGGGGTACAGGGAGCTCAGAGCGTCGTGGCAACTGCTGTCCTTTTCCTTCGTGGCCAAGGTCCGTGGGAAGTGAGGGGGGCTTCACGTTCGAGCCTCGGTCAGGGCTTGAGAATGCTTGGGAGTGCATGGTACCATCAAGCCCAAGAGCTGCAGAATTCCATAGCTTTCGATCAGGAGTTGTATAATCAATCTGTGTTGGCTTCTCTTCTCAGCGGGGCTCGGTCAGGCCAGGCGCTTCCAGCAGTGCAGCAGGGCTCCTGATGCAGGTGCTTTGGGTGGAGCATGCCAGGTTCGTTGAGGGCCTGAGGGCGGAGGAAGACGCATGGGTGGTTCGCGTTTCTGGGCAAGAGCATTCCGCGCTTATCGCTTGGGACTTTGCAGAAGGATAGGCTGTGATGAGCGCCCCGCCGATATGCGTGACAAGTTCCTTAGATTCCATTCTGATTGTTCTGCAGAGGGCCAGCCCTTGATAATCTTCGGTACTGCTGGTACAGTAGGATTTCAGTGGCTATCCAGAGGGAGGTAACGCAGGTGTGGCCAAAGGCAGCATCAACAGCCTCATTGGACCCGGGGGCCTCTGACGCCTTCGTTTGCTGCGATTTGGCTGCTTGAACACCTCCCTCTGCCCTGGCCCGAAATCTGCGATTTAAAGCCCAGGGCCATCTTCGAAAATTGTGCCCGCTTGGAGCTTGAATGACAGCATAGAACTGTGCGGTGAAGGCAGGAAGCGGCCTGGCCGAAAAGCAAAACGGAGGAGATCTTTTCCAAGCTGTGTCGGGGGGATCGGAGTAAAGAAACAGATCCCTCACACTGTCCCCCCCCTCCACAACCCGGGTTCGACGGATTGACTTGGGCTTGAGTTGGTCAACCAATCACGCGCTGTGCTTGGCTGTCTGCATAGCAACTCCTACGATCAGTGCGCATCAGCGCGCTTTGGTTGAATGGTATGCTGTCTTGGCAGAAGCATCTGGGATCAAAGCAGACTCCGAAAGAAAGTCCATATGAGAGAGAGAGAGAGAGAGAGAGAGAGAGAGAGAGAGAGAGTCTGTTGTCGCGAGCAGCACCCGGGCCGGATGCCAGGCGGAAGATGGATCCTTGCTCACGACCGAGACCGAGGCACAACGCATCACCCAATGGCTTTCTGAGGTTTTGCTTGACTCATCGTGTCAGCTGTAGTCCGCTTTCCTTGGGAGGGTATGGGGAAAGAGTGGGCAGATGCGGGTACTGGTAACAGCTTGCAAAGGGTCCATCATAAAGCATGTTGGCATGTTCTCCGCCAGCCGCGATGCCATTCAAGAAGCACATGCCCGCAGCTCAGCAAGCAATTGGTGTCGCTCGGGCTCAAGAGGTTAACCAATCCTTGCACGGCCCAGCTTGCCGTGTGCTCATGCCGAGGCCAGGATGTTTTAGAGCAGCCACTAATGGACTGCAGCCCCAGACTCGACTCAGCGCACCAGCGTTAGGGGTATCAGTTTAAGAGCCGAAAGTTGACACTCAATGCTTGTTTCAGAGTACACGTACAGGGGAGGTTTGCGGAGGTGGGAGCTGGCCAACAGGCTCTCGACCTAGCTGCCCACACAGAGACTGACTAGCCGGAAAGGAAGCCAACTCCATATCCATACCCCCCCAACCCCGAACTCCGAAACAGCTTTCTTTGAAAGCAGCAACATGGACTGTGCCGCGGCGGCGCGACCGCCGCTTCCGCTGCCAACTGGCTGGCTCGGACTTGTGCCGTTCCTCGCTGTGCAGCTTGGGCTTTGGAAGCCACTGGATGTGCCTGTCAACAAGGTTTGATATTCACAGGACCATGTAGACAAAAGGACGACATGAGCTCGATGTCAACAGCGCAGACAGCACTAGCAACATTGAGGCTTTGGGTCCGGAGTTCAAGCTTCAAGCATGCGCGCGGACTGCTTGGTAGCTTCCGAGCGTTTCTGTAGAGTCGTGGGCAGGCTCCCACCCTGTTCAGCGGTCCAGGTCTGGCACCCTTCCGAATTCATCACAAGTCGGAACCCCATCATCATCAGCCGGCAGTCGGCCGTAAACCGGATCTGCTTTGGCGCCGAGGCAGGCGTGACGACATGGAGGACAGCCACACCGTGGAATCCCAGAAAAAGTTGGAAGCCGACTCGGACCTCTCCCCGCCTCTCGGATCTTATGAGAGCTGGGTCCAAGATCCTGCATCAGCCCCCTCAGGCCCTGCCCCACTGTTGAGGAAGCCATGTTAGAAAAGGCCTGGAAGCGGCCGTGCTGGCCGGCCCATGTGCGGGGGCTGTGGGCGGCCTGTGCGCACCTGCGTCTGGGCCGCGTATTTGGGCGGGTGTTTCGATGTCTACTGTGAGGGGATTGGAGGTGGTACGAGAGCTGTTATGTGGATGGGAGGCCTGCAGTTGTTCTTGTCTCGAACTTTCTTGGGTATGCGAGAATACGAGGCCAAGATCTTGTGCGGAATTCGATGTTCAGAATCTGGTCTGGCCGCTGAAGCCTCAACACAAAAAGCCTCCACTCGTCTCACGAGGCATTTGTGCGAGTCTTCCATCCGAACCACTGGCTCTACCTCCTGGTCTGGAGAGCGTGACTCACCAGATTTGCTTTTGTGTCTTGGAGGCTTGTTGTCACCTTCTGGGCTGCGGGATCTGACTTTTGAAGTACCTGGCCACCTTTGATTATGAAGCTGCCGATCTTGGGTTCAATGGCTGAATAAGGACCGACCTCCAATCCCCAGTCAGTTGTCGTCCAAATCCACTCGCAGCATCATGTAGGCAATATGCAGCTGAAAATGCAAGCTCTTCGACCCCAAATGTCCCGGCCGCGCAGCTACAGAGGTGCTGCTTCTCCGGCACCCCAAGGAGCGGCGGCAGAAGCACCAGAGTGCCTGGATACTGGAACGCTGCGTCCGTGGCGTGAGGCCTTGGCTGGGGATGATAGGAATTAAGCTTTCATAGGATGCTCACCACGTGAGATGAAAGCCGCGTGGCTTGGCTTTTTTCGTGATCCTTAGCGCAAGTCGCCTGATCCGACATTTGAAAATCAAAACCCGTTGGGAGGCAGCATGTTACGCGGAGGCTGCCATCAGAGGTGCCCATCGGGCTCGAGCATTTGCTCCTTTGCTGCTGTTGGCCAGAGGTTTGTTGTCGTCGGCAAATTAGCATGAAGTTGAGCTGCAAGTATCAGAACATGACGTCATAAGATTCTTGGTCTTAGCATGTCGCGGTCTCGCCATGAGTCCGAAGTCCTTCCGAGCGGCCGAGATGTGTCAGAGTGTGGCACGTAACAGACGTCCTCGTTTGACCCCGCCTGGAACGGCCCAGGTACAGGGAGCCCGAAAGCTGTCTGCTTGTTTTCCCTGGACCCGGTGCGCGCCCGCTGAAGGAGTGCAGGGCTTGCATTTCTGACGATGGCCCGACTCGCAGCGGATGCAGTGGGCTGGAGGAAAGAGTGCTGACTGCTCGGAGGAAGTTCTGGATGCGAAGGTGCGACACCTAATCCTGGTGGACGCCACGTGGCGCTTCGCCCGTGCTTTGGTTGCAGGCTGTTTGAGCAAAAAAAGACGACGGCGAGCATGCGCCAAGGCTGTTTGAAAGGATCAGAGCCAGTACTGCGATATACTGCGATTGTGCAGTCAAGCGGCTCCTACTTGAACAGTGGCAGGTCAAAGAAGCATTGGAGGCTGTTTGCTGCCGTAGACGTGATCGCCAGCAGAGTCCGAGCGGCCTTCCTCAGCTGAACCAAAAGCAAACGGTGCAGCGGAGCAGATCCATCGGCTGGAGGCCCTCGAAGGTCAGAACGCTTTGTCATTGGCACAGCAGTGCAGAATCAGATTCATATCTTGTCTTGTCAATACGAACGTCGTGCTGGCGATCGTGATTGACATTAGTAAAACAACTGTGGCCAAAGTCTCTCAATAGCTCAATTGGTTTTGTCCGCTTAACACGGTTAGTGTACTTCTCGACAGCAGCTTCAGAACGGCACACCGTAAGACAGTCCAACATCGTGCTCGAAGCAGAGCGGCACCACTGAGGCGAAATGGCAGCCGTCTCGGAGTCCGGCGATCCGTTGTCGAGGCCAATGGTCTTCATCTTATGAGCTCTGCAGTGTGAAATTTCGAGTTAGCCATCGCTGGGCTTGAGGGTTGCCACGCAGATGATTACCATCCAGACGATTCACTCGTTTGCTTCGACAATGAACATCTCCCTTCAACGATCACGATTTTACATAAGGTTTTGGATCTGTCACCCACTATCTCCTTTGAGGTTTTGCATGATATTTCAAGCAACATCTCCCTTTCCGGGTAAGGGTTCGGCAACCAACGTCTTAGTCTTTGAGAGTTTGGGGTTTGCTGTCAACGATCTTCTTTCGGGCTTGGGGCTTGCCAACCAACATCTCCTTTTAGGGTCTTGGGTTTGCCACCCAACAAAACCCAACCCTCCTGTCGGCTTTGGGGTTTGCCACATGCGACCTGCGTCTCGTATTTAGGCTTCGAGGTTTGCCAACCAAGATCTGCTTCAAGGGTTTGGGGTTCGGCAAGGCATCTTTTTTAGATTTGAAGTTGGCCAACTAACCCTTACATCCCCAAGTTTAATGTGAGGCTACGATGTAAATTTCAAAAAAAAAGCTTCTTTCTTTACGGTCTGGGGTTTGCCATCCTTGTGGATTAAAGCATTCAGGTTAAGGGTCTAGAGATTAGGGTTTAGGGTTTCGTGGGGAGCGTTACGTGGAGGTCAAGCTTTGCCTTAGGGTTCAGGGTTTCGGGTTTAGGAAGTTTACGTAGGGTTTAGGCATGCGTGAGATGACGTGCCTTGTCACTCGTGACACCTGCACCCGGGCCTGACAGGGCAACCTCGCTGTTTCTCGAGCCTCTGAAGAGTTTCGCATTCGGTTGAGTGGGTTCCCCTCAGGCCCGAGCCGTTTATGTGTGTGTGTGCGTGTGTGTGTGTGTGTGTGTGTGTGTTTGTGTTTGTTTGTTTGTTTGTTTGGTGGTGGTTCGTATCCGCGATTCCAAGCTGGGTGGCTGCGATGTGCACTGCGGATTGGGGTTTAGGGCTTAGGCTTGGCGCTCTCTTTCCCCAGAAGCTCCAACAGGTTCAATGTCAGCACGGCCCAGTCTGCCACTGACTCTTACATGCTCAGGGCCCTAATCCCCGAACTCAAATCCGAAGACTTACATCCTTGCCGCAATTTTGAGTCGTTGGAGAGACCTCAGGATACGGCGCGTGGAGTTGACCCCACCATCCGGCACCCGCCCGGTATTTGTGGTGCCTCGTCTGATAGTACGAATCATGTGTCGGCCTTTGCATCCTCAGGTTTGTGCCTCGGGTATTTGTCAATTGTCAACGAACCCGCTGATGCTGCAAGGCGTCGAAGCCTTCATGAAGTAAGGATTGCCTGGGTTAATCCTTTGTGATCTGGCATGCAGGCTTCGAAACATCTAGCCTGGAAAATGCATCATGTACGTGGATTATACCTGGCTCACTGTTATTGCTATGAGAGTCGGAAAGGACCGTGCTTGTTCTCCTTGAGGTACCCTCACCCTGATGTGCCAGCCGAAGCCTCCAGCAGAGCATGCCACCCCTGTTTTCTCCAAGATTTTCTTGTAGATTTCGGAGTGCCGCTATCAAGGTGTTCGTCGTGCAGCTGAACTCAGTTGTGTTGTGTGTTGTCTGCATCTATGGTCACTCGCGAGTTGCGAGATGTTGTGAGGTTCGCAAGCCGTTGCTTCTCGGGAACACGCGCGAGCTGGAAGCGACTGATGGTCATGATTTTGTGGCAAGCGAGGACTTGGCTGCTTACGGCTTTAAGGCGGCTCTCTGCGTGTGAGGTTTTCGTCTTAGCAGTATTTTTGCCCGGGTGTGGCACTAAATCCGACTTCCAGGACTGCTCCATTCATAATCGGCACCCGTACTCTGCAGCAAGTCACCTCCGATGAAATTGCAAGAAGTCACGCCATGCAAACTTCGAGGTGCTTCCAGTTACAACTGCGTGAACCCGCGACTCTCTTACCTCCGAAGCCACCTGTTCATTGTGTGTACGAGCACGCCCGTGTTTCATTGAGTGTTCGCATCTTCTTCTACATTTTGTCAGGCATGTGCTCATGCATGAATGTATATACAAGTACA